CATAAGATTTAAAAATTTAAATATTAAGAAATAGGGCTGGGGTTGTGACTCAGTGGTAGAGTGCTCACCTAGCATGCACAAGGCATTGGGTTTGATCCTCAGCAACATATATATGTAAAATAAAGATAAAATATCCCCACAAAAAAAAAAAAAAAAAATATATATATAAAAGAAATAATTGTGTTGTAGTTTAACGGGCAGCATTTTTTTTTCCAGGAGTACATAGAATAATGGTGTGTTATAATTGAAGGCATCTTAGATACAGTAAAATTCAGTGTCAAGCACATTCTCTGTACAGGCCAAGTTCAGATACAGCACTTGTCTTGACATACTATAGTTTGGGGAGACAGACAATAAACTAGAAATGAGAGACTATGCTAAATTATATGAAGGAAGTAAATAGGGTGTTAAGATAAAGAGTGACTGGGGTATGGCTACTCTACTTAGTGATCAGAAAATCAGAACTACACTTGGACTTGAGCGAGAAGGGCCCCTACCTAATTGTTTAGTTCAAACTTTGACTTGATACACATCTCTGGGGGATTTTGTTGAAATGCAGATGATGCTGATTCAGTATATTTTTGTGGAACCAGACAGCCTGCATTGCTAACGCGTTCCCAGATGATGCTGATGCTGCTGTTCCAAGGACCACACTGTGGGTAGTAAGGATGTAGAAGGCTCTGCATATCAAAAATACTAAAACACAAAGACTCCCCCTCCAGTCCTGTTTTTGGCCCTGGGACAAAGGTTTTGAAAGTTCAGAAACCAAATGAATCCATAAAATTGTGGGAAAGAAATACATGCATTGAAGTAGACCTGAAGCTTAGTCTGCAGGTATGTATAGAGGTTGGTGGGTCCCTAGAGCCAGCTTCTGCCCACTTTGCCCCTGCATTTCTGGGTTACCCTTGGACTTCTACCGGTATAGAAAAGAGTGTGGCTCCTTCAGCCTCTGGATTGTGAGGACGATTCCACATAAGCAGTGTGAAAATAGTTTGATGTATATCTACTTCTGATATGTGGGCCTCTATTTGTGCTGCTTTCCTGGGCTTTATAAACATTTTCAATGGACTTGCAGGATATAATAATAACTAACATGATAATGGTTGACCAGTAAGCCAGGCAGAGTCTGTCCTAATTATCTTACATGTATTAACTCCCATAATCTCATAAGAAACCTATGAGAGAAATTGGACTTATTATCATTGTTCTCATTTTGTCGATAAAGAAATTGGGAAGGTCTGGAGTCTGAGCCAGGCAGCTTGGCTCCAGGGTTGATACCCTTCACCACAATGCTGTCACCTCCACTCAGGGAAGGGAACTTAGCAGGAAAGAACTCGCCATGCGGAACCAAAAGTGACTGAACTTTGAAAACATTAGAATCTTGTGATTCTAATCAAAAGAAGGAAGAAGGATCCAAGATGAAATCAGAGAGACAGGGCTGGGGATGTGGCTCAAGCG